CCATAATCGATGAACTATAATTCCAAAATCAATGAACTAAAATTCCATAATCTATGAACTAAAATTCCATAATGAATTATCAACATAATGCCGTTGCTGGGAATCAAACCTGATTTTTTTTTTAAAGGGGAGACGCGCATTTTTAATAAAACGACGTCGTTTTTGCATCCGTATGCACCACGCATGGTGCATACGGATGCACAGCATAACTACTCGTAAAATTATGCACTTAAAAATATTATTTGGGTCGAAATTATTTGAAAAATGACATTTTTCATCTTTGAGTTATGCATAAAGTGTAGATTAAATTTCAAACATATATTTATGTTAAATACTTCCAAAAGGCTGAACCCCAACCCTACGCAAATTATGCTGTGCAACCGAATGCACCTTGCAAGGTGCATACGGTTGCAAAACAGCGCCGTTTTAGTTAAAAAAACGCGCGTCCTACTTAAAGAAGAAATCAGGTTCGATTCCCGGCAATAGCATTTTTATATATCCAGAAATTCATAACTATATAACCACAATTTCATAACTATATATCACAGTGAATGAATGAAGTAAAAATCCACAATGAATGAATGAATGAAGTAAAATCCACAATGAATGAATGAACACTATGAATGAACTAAATATCCACAATATATGATTGAACTAAATATCCACAATGAATGAACTAAATATCCATAAATTCATAACTATATAACCACAATTTCATAACTATATATCCACAATAATGCTATTGCTGAGAGTCGAACCTGATTTTTTTTTTAAGTGGGACGCGCGTTTTTAATCAAAACGACGTCGTTTTGAACCGTATGCACCATGCGCATGGTACATTCGGTTGCACAACATAACTATTGCCAACCCTAAGGGCCCCCCACACCCCGGCCCGTCAGAACATTTGGGAGGAAATCATGGTGTAGTTTATCTAATTATCTATGTAAATAATACGTTAAGTCTATGGTTAATATGTTCGACCCATATATTAACACTAATCCCATAGTGTAGTTTATCTAATTATCTATGCGATTCATCGATTATTAATACACAATAACAAATTTAAATATTATATATTTCGAAATAATAATGTTAAGTTTCCTTTGTAATAAAAAAAATTATCTATATATAATTAATGAAATATCACTAACCGTCCACTGGTGACAAGTTGGAGTTAATTTATTAGCAATGTAAATTAAATGGAATTTCACCGGCCGTCCACTGGTGACAAGTTGGAGTTAAATTAGCAATGTATATATAATATTCATAGTAAAATTTTGCATTTAATATTGTACTATTATGCTATATGACATGTTTTATAATAAATGCACCGAGTACATAACAAAAAACCATACATTATATTATCATACCTTCTATATTTAGCATATATATCATTAGTTCATTACTATCCACCGGCAACAAGCTAACTGCCAATCACGATAAATTCGTCAATTCACTGGTGCACAGGTGTTCAAAAATATCAGAGCTCATTTTGGTAATCCCTTGTTCTCAAAAAGTTGAATCTTCGCCAATCCTAGGCTCGACAGATTATATGAGAGGATGTAAATCATGATAACTCAGCTGAACACAACAGAACATCTGGGGATGTAAATCATGGTAACTCGAAGTCCGGTCACTTTGGGAGGTTGCTCTCAGAGTGCCGCTGGTGAGACTCGATACCGAATTATTGTTCCCAACTTCACTCATGTAACCAATTGAGATGTCTATACAGGCGTCCATAGAAAAAACATACTTCTACATGTTATGTAATTCAAATTCTTTAAAAAAGTTGAGTTATATTTATATTAGCGTAAAAATAAATATTTTTCTAATATCAAACAAATGCTACTTCAAAGTAATCCCAAACATTTCAATTTTTTCCAATTCAATTAGTACACTTTGAAAATTAATTTCACAATTACCTAGTATTCATTTTCAACATATAATATATCAAATTCATCATTTTTGACTAGGTAAATCCAAATCGACTTTGACTTAACCTGACCTGAAATTCAAGTGGAACTCTCACTCATATTAATATTTCAAAACGACCACTGAAAATGTCAATTTATACATGATACAGAATATTACTCGGAGTATGCGAAGTGTATCCCGTGTGTATGTCTCGAGAGTGCAGTGTATATAAAGTGTATCAACAATAGAGTAGTAGAGAGAAGATTGAGCAAAATGGACTTCTTTTATTAAATGTTTAGAGAGAGAGTAGAGACTAGGAAGGAGAACCCCTAAAATGAAGGGCTAATGCCCTTTATATAGGCACAAGTACATATGAGTTTGACTTTAATCTGTTGATTTTGACCATGACCCCGACTCGACTACAAAACGAGAGCACGGACGTACATGGAGGTCAAAACTGAGATATATTCCCTATCAATAATACTAATTTTTTTTTTTACTATGAACATCCTTGGTGACAAGGATATGATGCTTAAAGTGAATATTTTAACAAGACCAAATATTATAATCATTAATCAGATCGAATGCAACATTACTATAACTATTAAAATACTATTGGAATGAATAATTAAGGCACTTAGCAGTCCCTCATGAGTCATGTTTCACTAAACTGTAATGAGTAACAATGAACTAATTAATCAAATAGTACAGACGTACAGTTTATGTCTTCTCCTAGCTAATAAAATTGAAACACACACATGCATGACATAAAATAACTTTTAAGCGTTGCATTTTGTTTGAAATATATATATATATATATATATATATATATATATATATATATATATATATATAATACGGACCAAATGCAGATATATAATGTGCTTAGGTGCAAACGTGGGGTGAGATGAGAGTCATTGATCTTGTTAAGATCAACGTCTAGAATTAACAAGGATTAAAAAACGCGTACGGTGATTAAAAAAAATGCGGTGGCAATTTGGTCTTTTTGCGTTTATGTCAAACTTAAGGTGCGTGATTTTCCTTCTTAAGGTGCATGGTTTATGTGTTGTGTGCTTAAGGTGCGTCAGTTGTTAAAACTTAAGGTGCGTCAGTCTAAAGCTATAGGTTCGTGGTTTTCCTTTTTAAGGTGCGTAATTTTCCTTCTTAAGATGAGTGGTATTTGTGCTTAAGGTGCGTTAGTTGTTGAAACTTAAGGTGCGTTGGCCTAAAGTTTTTAGGTGTGTGGCTTTCCTTCTTAAGGTGTGCCATTTTTTTTTTTTTTTTTTTTTTTTGCTGTCTTAAAATACAACCACTATCCTTTTGCAATCATGTTTCAGCAATCAGTTAAATGGAAGTAAAAATGTATGTTTTAATTTATTGCTTATGAGTGGCCAGCTCTGGTGGTGTTAGATATATTAAATATAATATATTTAATATAATATATATTAAATATAATATATCTATAATATATATATAATATATATTTGAGAAGAGAGAGAGAGGGAGAATTGAATTCACTTGATTGATATTTGAAAAAGATTGATACACAGCCTTTTTATAGTAAAGGAGAAATAATAATAAAGCTAAAAATTAGGAATGTATGCTCCATGTACTCCACATACACTAAGCCACATACTGCATACACACCACCCACTACTTAATTTAATTAACAAACTAATTAACTCTTGGTTTAACAATTATAATAATAATATTATTATAACAGGTGGTGATGTCTTCTTAAAATCAATTTTGTAAAGATTTACCTTACCATCAATTAGTTCGTAAACATACACCACAACTCGTAGGCTTTTGATATCCATGAGAACAAAACTGAGGTTAACATCATAAGTAACACTGTTGTGAGCGCCAGTTACAAATTCTGAGTTTATAACAACGCTATTTTTTTCATTGATTTGAGCCGTTGATCTAGATTAGATCAACGACTTAAATCTAACCACATCTTTCACACCAAAAATTTGGACAAAATCATACCTGCAAGATAACATCAATAAAGATTATTGTGCCTAATCAAACCTTTGTGCCTAATTAAACCTTTCAGAAAACTTTTAAAAATAACTCATTATTATCATTGAAAAAAAAAAAAACTCGTCATTATCATTTAATCAATGACATAATTATATTCTTTATGAATATGTGTGATTTAACAAGTCCAATCCAACCCATAACCTCTGGAATAGTTTTAAGTGATAATAACAAGGGTCTCTCCTGCCAAGCATATTGTACTCAGATGGCATGTAGTGACTTTTCTCATGTGGAAGATCATGAGATCGAGTTTAAGTGGAGACGTTGTTGACTTGATAAGGTCATGAGATTGAGTTTAAGTGGAGGCGTTGTTGACTCACTGTTGGAAGGCCGTGACTCTGTGTGCAACATAATAGCCATTAGCATGTTATATATATATATATATATATATATATATATATATATATATATAAACAACATAATATAAGTATGAAAAAATCTAAAATGTGAATCCGTATAATACTATGAAAAATACTTTGTTTTCCAAAATATCTGATACAACACGACACAATATTTATCAACACCTTAGAACTTCCCATTAAATATATAATATATAAAATATACTATGTATTATAAGAATATTAATACTATATAAACACCCACTTTTTACTGCCTACTAATGTATAGCATGCATCCTCCGATTGACTTAGGAAAAGAAATCTAGCCCGCAGAAGGTAAGCTCACAAGTTTAATAAGCAGTATAAGTGAGTAAATTCCTTATGCATATTAACATTTGGCCTTGTCTGTTGAATCATTAACTTATTTTAATTTACATTTTCAAAAATACTCTGTCGAGCTAAGGTGTGGAAGGCATTGGAGTTGGGAATTCAACTATTGTTTTAGGGCAAGGAAAAGTAAATATCTAACACAATTTTTATTATATTTATTTTATTTTATTCTTCTCATAAAATTTAAACATTTGATAAGAGTTTTATATATTCTTCATTTATCCATTTGCCTAATAAAAGAATAGTTTAGCGTCAATTATAAGTCTTCACTATTCCCTCATTGATGTCCGACCTGGATCAGGACGTGAAAGACTATAGAGTCCACATGTGTATATAATACAAACCACTTGTTCGATACCCGGCCAGAACATACACTATATTTATGTATGATTAGTTAGTTATAATTTAGTTCATGTGGCCTGGGAAAACAAATTAAAGCAGCTTCAATTCAGTTGCTACCTTAGTCCCCAACTACCTGTTTTTCGCTAGTTTTTTTCAGTATCGTTAGATTATATTTTGATCTAATAGTTAAGTCATAGAGGCAGGCTGGGAATAATGGAGAATGAAGACGGAAAGGGTAACAACGTTAACGGGCTTGTCTCCGTTGAAAACCCGAAATCACAGAGCCGCCTTGGGCGGTTGTTTCAACGGCAATGCTACCCGCCGCACTTTCTCAACAAGGTTAGTTTGATCCATGCATGATCGTCTTGCATGCGACGGTGAAATCCTGTCGGAAAATCCTTAAAAGTTCTGTTGATGTTGGAGCTAGAATGAATGTTCTTTTCTCGATGTAATTGAGGTTTTTTTTTTTGCAGGTGGTTGCGGAGGTCATAGCGACGTATTTGTTGGTGTTTGTGACGGCGGGATCGGCGGCCATTAGCGCCAGCGACGCGCACAGAGTGTCGCAGCTAGGAGCGTCCGTGGCCGGTGGCCTCATCGTGACGGTGATGATATATGCCGTCGGACACATCTCCGGCGCGCACATGAACCCCGCCGTCACCTTTGCCTTCGCCGCCTTCCGACATTTTCCATGGCGACAGGTCACTCTTTCCTCATCATCACCGCCTACTTCGTTCTATAATTCTTCTCTCCCTCAATTAAATTCCTCTCATTTTTTATATTTAATTTGTCATATATTCTCGTTGAATTCAAAGAAGTATTACTATGTGTTTTGTAATTAAGTAAAACATTAAAAGCCTTTGAACTTGTGGTCTAGTGACACGTAGTGACTCTTCCAAATGAGAAGTGATGAGTTTGATCTCTAGTGAAGGCGGTATTAACTTTTTTATGTTTTAGTAAGTTGGGAAAGTAGTTATGAGATAAACGACTAACAGTCACTACCGAAAATACTCCATTCTTATGCAATAGCTCACAAATTAATATGCAAGAGAGAGTATTGAATAAAGCGCAAATTATGCCAAGAGAGAATATTGAATAAAGTTATGAATTTGTTTAAAATGATTGTTGGATAAAGAAACTTTAGAAGCAATAGTAAAAAGATGAAAAAAAAAAATATATGTATATATAAAAGTGGAATCATTCCACTATTTAAGTGACATGAATTAAATACCACCCGAATATCCACCCCAACCCATGTTGTGTCATAGGCAGTGGTCGGGTAGGTGAGGCAAATGTTATAACTTATACAGATATGCACATGTCAATGGAATTGATTGACATATAACTTCCCTCGTTATTTGGTAAATGTACCATTTATTTTTCACTTTTTAGTTATCTACTTATCAAGAAAAATGAATAAATATTCCCGTTAATAAATAGTTATGTGTTGAGCATATGTACATTTAATGTTCAACTATCAAATTGTTGAAGGAGAACACATAGTTCAATAGATTATACGTTCGAACTTATCTCATACCAATGAAACATATATATCCTTCAATAGTGGAGGACATATTATATTGCAACTTTAGTGGCAGGCCATATATATTATATTGCAACTTTGTACAATAATGGAGACATTTTTTAATAGTGTGTTGAGAGGCATGGCATACTATCCATGAATTATTGTGTTTGTGGTGGTCATTAATGATAAGGGAGGGCATGGCCATTAATTATTATCTATAGTCATAAACTTTTGGTGATGAGTATTGAGTAGAGGTAGTTCATATGTATTTATCAAAATCCAGACACAATCAATAAATTCTAACAATGACCCCAGAACAGGGACATAACAACGTAACAGGTGTTTTTCGTGTTAATGGCCATGGCCGTAGTGTTTGTTACCATAAAGGAACACAATTTATTTTAATTCCCTATTTTCTATTTTCTGCATAATGTTCATTTTATGTACTTAATTGTGGTTTTAATTTGTTCAATAATGGTAGCTGAAAATGGCATATTAATTTATAGGTACCATTCTATGCGGCGGCACAGGTGACCGGAGCAACATCGGCGGCGTTCACTCTCCGTGTAATCTTAAACCCCATTAGACGTATCGGCACGACAACGCCGTCGGGGAACAACTATGTTCAAGCCCTAATCACGGAAATCGTTGTCACGTTTTCTATGATGTTTGTCACCTCCGCTGTCGCCACAGACACCAAAGCTGTAAGACATCTCTAAGCTTTTAGCTGAAACGAAACACATTATTTTTTTAACTGAATTTTTCAGGTCGTCACAGACACTAAACCTATAAGACATTTCTAAGCTTTTAGCTGAGACGAAACACATTTCTTTAACTGAATTTTCTCGATCATGTCATAGATCGGGGAGCTGGCTGGCATTGCAGTGGGTTCGGCCGTGTGCATTACTTCAATCTTTGCTGGGTAATTACAGAACCCGAAATCCCGTAAACTTGACTAGATTAGTTTTATCTGAAACTCGTTATGAACAGGCCGATATCGGGGGGATCGATGAACCCAGCAAGGACCATAGGGCCTGCAATAGCAAGCAACGATTATAAGGGCATATGGATCTACATTGTCGGACCTGTTTGCGGGACGCTGCTGGGGGCATGGTGCTATAGCTTTATCCGCCTCACAGACAAGCCCACCCACGCCGTCCAACCGCAACATTTGCCGTCTTTCCAGTTGCGGAGAATGAAGAACGACAACGTTGAACACACGGCGGCTGATGTTCGGGATCCCCTCAATGCTCTGTGATCTATGGTTTCTTGGTTATCTATATATGTAACCCAGGCCAGAAACCAAAGCTTCTTGGATGTAAATCTGATGACCATCCATTATGTGTTTAATTTGTACCTAATAAATATGAAATGTTCTGGTTGTACTATACAGTTATTATGTTTATATAAACGACTATGGGTGGATTATTTTTATTCTATCACATAGATACCAAGTTGAATGATGTGTTTTGTTTCTATTAATAATGTTAAATTAATAATTGAACTGAACATTTATAATTTATATATTACATTATGTACAAACCAAAAATAATCGGGATTTGTCCTTCTCATCCTATGCTAAAAGCTCTCAATTTAATGCACTTTCTCGAAGTGTTCTACTTTCTATTTGGTTTGTCAAGTGCATAATTTGTGTGTTTAAAATCGTTGTGAAGCTTCAACACCCTTAAATACTTTGAGAAAAACAAAAAATTAATAGGCAAGAATATTTTGAGCGAGAATTAATTGTGTCATATACTTTACCCCCAATTGTTATATCGTGGAACAAAGTCCACAGTGCACTGTAGACCCTGGTCCAATATACATAATTTGACTTTATAATGTACAGAATTCATGTTCATAATGTACAAAATTTATATTCATAATACATATACACATAAATATCATAATGAACATGAATTCTGTGTATTATGAACATGAATTCTGTACATTATAAATATGAATTATATGTATTATGTTAAGTGTTTATGTGTCTTTATTATATCGTTTTATGTGTATTATAAATATAAATTCTGTAAATTATGAACATGAATTTCTATACATTATAAAATTAAATTATGTGTATTGGAGCAGGATCCACAGTATGCGCCATGCATGGCGCATACGAATGCAAAAACGACGTCGTTTTGCATCAAAACGCGCATCCTACTTAAAAAAAAATCAATTTCGATTCCCAACAACAACATTATGTTATTCATTTTGTAATTCATTCATTCTGGATTTTTAGTTATAAAATTCTGGATGTATAGTTATGCAATTCTGGATGTATAGTTATGCAATTCTGGATGTGTAGTTATGAAGTTATGGATGTGTAGTTATGTAATTCTGGATTTATAGTTATGAAGTTATGAATGTGTAGTTATGAAGTTATGGATATGTAGTTATGCAATTCAGGATTTATAGTTATGAAGTTATAGATGTGTAGTTATGCAATTCTGGATTTATAGTTATGAAATTATAGATGTGATAAAATTATGGATGTGTAGTTATGCAATTTTGAATTATTATTTTTTAAGTTAGACGTCAAAACGACGTCGTTTTTACATATGGTGCATACGGATGCACATCATAACGATTGCAATATATATTGCGCTTTACCCCTATTTGGACTGGTCCAAAAACTATGGGACTGGATCGCCATCCTGTATTCCTGTTAATGAACCCAAAGCCCAAAGTAGGATTTAACAATCATTATGAGTTGGACCCGTGTCCAGCATGCGGGCTGTTATGCCATGGAACCGTGTTCACCATGGTTGGTGAACACGGTTCCATACGACACCGTTTAGAGTGAGTGGGACTAACGGTGCCCGTAAGTGGCACCGTTAACTCCCACCACTCACATTTTTTTTTTTTTTAAATTAAACGCACCATAGCATTTCCGCTTCTCCACTACGCCATTTCACTTCCTCTCCAAGCAACCTCCATCGCTCTGCTCTCTGGAACACCACTCTCGAGCTCTCTTCTATCGCTTCATCTTCCCCAGCCATTTCCTTCGATCACTCTCAAACACTCTGCTCCACAGCCATTCACCTCTGCTCTCGGATTCCTCGTTCTCGCATTTGTAAAACAAAATTTGACGTTCTCACGTAGCTACCAAAGGATACAGCCTCTCCATTGCTCATTCTCAACGTTCCTTCACTTGTATTACAGGTATTTTCGTGTTTATGATTTAGGGTATTTGTATTCTGTGTACATATTTCGAAATTTTGAAATGGGGTTTTGAATGTAATGTTATGAGCTTATGAATGTATATCTGTAGCATTATATACGTGTAGATTAACCATTATGAATTGATTCGTATATGCTTTTTACTGCTGTTTATTCACTTTCTATGCAAGCTTTGAATGTCCATAACGTCCATTCACTTATGTATTTTATGTCATGCAAATATGTATTTTATGTCATGCAAATATGTATTTTCTGTGTGAGATTATGAATTTTCTATTGTGCCTATGAAATTACATTTTTGCTGTTATGAACTTTCTTATATGTGGTTATGTATTTTCTGTTAGAGATTATGAATTTTCTCGTATGAGAGTATGAATTCTGTATTGTGAGTTGTCAATTTTATGTTCTGTAGTTATGAATTTTCTATGTTGCAGTTATGAACTTTCTGTTTTGGAGTTATGAATTTTCTGTCCTGAGGTTATGAATTTTCTTTGTGAGATATTATGAATTGTATGTTACTATACTATCAATTATATGTGACTGTTATTGATGGACAATATGGAATTATGGATTTTCTCATATGAGATTATGGATTCTGATCTATATTGCAGTTATGAACTTTCTGTTCTAAGGTTATGAATTTTCTGTTCTGGTATTATGAATTTTCTTTGTGAAATTATGAATTTTATGTTACTATATTACCAATTATGTGTAACTGTTATTGAAGGACATTATATTATTTTCGGTAGAGCATGGCTGGATTTATTCGGCACTCCCCATCCCCCCTCTACTGAAATAAGGAATATATTTTCCTTCCATCAATCTATATTATATGTTGTATATGAGTTACTTGCTTTCTAACGTTTTTAATAAAAGCAATGGACACTGCTCAACGAAGGACAACACGCTCACAAACAAAGGCAGTCTTGAGCTCTCAAGCTGCAGAACCATCACAACCCTCACAGACGGCGGCTGAACACAACACTGCAGTCACCCCTACAACAAAAAGCAAGAGAAAACGAACAACACGGGCTGTACTTGACTCACAGGCTGCTCAACCATCCCAGCAGCACTCTGATGACCTGCTCGAGCAAGAAGTTATTAGAGAAAAGAGGTCAAAGCAAATAAATGACAGACATAGGGGCAACACAGACATTGGAGGTGATTGTGCAGAGGGGAGTTCTACTCCCTACTTCAGCACACGGATGGGACCAAAGACCATGTTTAGGCTTGTACAACAACTACTGCCAGAACAAAAACAAGCTGTCCGTGATATTGGATTTGGAGCCCTGTTGGACCTTCAATTGTGCGCAAATGAGTCACAATTAGTTCAGTATTTGATAGCCAACTTTGAGGTTTTCCAAACACATTTCAAGCTGGAGAACGACAAGCTCACAGTTGATGAAGAGGACGTTGAGTACACTCTTGGCATTCCAAGAGGAGAAAAGAAGGTTGTTGAGGCCCCAAAATATGATGAACAGGGGACACCAGAATACAGGGCTCTCTTGAAAAGCTGGAGGGAACGGTGGAATATTAAGCTTGGTTCCCCAGTCACTACCCAGATGGGAGATGTCATAGTTCAGAGGGGAGATTCTGGAGATGACTTTAAGAGAGACTTCATGGTCTTGACTGTTTCATGCATGATGAGGGGATTTCAGAACCGCTACTGCAACAACAGAATCCTCAACTCCTTGATTAATGTTGACGAGATAAAGGAGTACAACTGGTGTGGCTACACCTACAACTCTCTGATCAAGTCCATTGAGCAGTACAGGAAGAAAAGTAATAGCTTCTTTACTGGACCAATGACATTCATATTGGTAAGCTCTAGCTCCACTTATGAATCTTATGATATTCAGATTGTAGATTATATGTGTTAGATTATGAATTTTCCTCTATGTGATTATGAATTTTTCTCTATGTGATTATGAACTTTCCTCTATGTCTCAGATTATGAATCTTCCTTTATCTGATTATGAATTTTCCTTTATGTGATTATGAGTTTTCCTATATGTGATTATGAATTTAGAGTATGTGCTTATGTATTTTATGCTATTCAGATTTTATGAGAATTATGTGTCAGATTATGAATTTTCCTTTGCCAGATTATGAACTTTCATTTACCAGTTTATGAACTTTCCTCTATGTGATTATGAATTTTCCTCTATGTCTCAGATTATGAATCTTCCTTTATCTGATTATGAATCTTCCTTTATGTGATTATGAATTTTCCTATATGTGATTATGAATTTAGAGTATGTGCTTATGTATTTTATGCTATTCAGATTTTATGAGAATTATGTGTCAGATTATGAATTTTCCTTTGCCAGTTTATGAACTTTCATTTACCAGTTTATGAACTTTCCTTTACCAGTTTATGAATTTTCCTCTATGTGATTATGAATTTTCCTCTATGTCTCAGATTATGAATCTTCCTTTATCTGATTATGAATTTTCCTTTATGTGATTATGAATTTTCCTATATGTGATTATGAATTTAGAGTATGTACTTATGACTCTTATGCTGTTTAGATTTTATGAGAATTATATGTGTCATATTATGAATTTTCCTTTATGTGATTATGAATTTACAGTATGTACTTATGAATTTTATGCTATTTACATTTTGTGAGAATTGTATTTGTCAGGTTATGAATTTTCCTTTATTTGATTATGAATGTTCCTTTATGTAATTATGAATTTTCCTTGTTATCATTATGAATGTTCTTATAGTATTATGCAATAATGAATCTCATAATAGAAAGTTCATAATTGCATAACATAAAATCCATAATATGATAGTTGAATATAATGTTCATATGGATTATGAATTTTCTATTATGATATTATGAATTTTCTGTAGTGTAATTATGAATTCTGTGATTATAACTTTTTTATTTTACCTTTTTGTTCAACATTGTAGCTATTCTACTTTGATCGGGTCCAATTCAAAGGAATGAGCATTCAAAGAACATATCCAAGCATTACTGCATGGACAAGTAAACTTGCACGGCAAAGGGTTTCCGCTGAGAAAAGGTCGGGCGGATATGGTAAAGGGAAAGTTATCCCTCGTATTGCAAAGCCTACTGCTGATTGTATCGCTTCTACTTCCGCCCAACCAGTCCCAACCATCTCTGTGCCGCCGTCTAGTGTTGATAGGGTCACGCGGGTTCTACAACGCCTTGCTGCTGATGTCTTGGAATTCGGTGAGGCTATGGCTGAAGTTGGCAGACAAAACGCACCGGTGGATG